CTTCCGATTTATGATATTCAATAAATAGGAAATTAATTAATACACGTTGTGTACATTTTATCATCTTCTTGTGTGATTCATTAATTCTTATTTTATAAAAAAAAGAAATATATATATATAATTATAAATAATTATAAATAACTAAATAATTATAAATAATTATAGATATATATAATTATAATAAAGTTAAATAATCAATTCGAATTATTTAATTTTTGTAATGAATGTCATATTGTTTTTTTTTCACGTTCCATCTTTACATCTTTACATCAGAAATCTGTGTACCTACACAGTTATATTATTGTTTGTTTTATTCGCGAGACGATAACTGTGTTGTTCCTCTCGTCATGCAAATTGAGCAGAAAAGACACGATTCAATGGTTGTCCCTTGGAAAGTCTCCAAGCGTGCATAATATATTATTTTCCATCATAAATACTCAATCGGAAACACCAAAGATCTATTGTATCCTATTCGTACCATTAGGTCGAAACAAGACCATCATTTATCGTTTCAATCTCTCATTATTATTTAACAAATGATTGACGATATTAAAATGACGTTGCCGTCGATTATCAATAATTTATACAAAATTGATTAAATAGAATATATTAGAGAGAGAGAGAGAGAGAATTGAAGAATATTGTTTCTTTCGAAATTCAAAAAAACTTGATTCTTCGGTTTTTTTTTTTATTTTGTTGGCGGATAAAGAACTTGATTTTTCGCAAAAAAATTTAAAATTCGTAAAATTAAAAATTTTTCAGTTATCAAAAAGAGAGATAAAGAGTGAGGGTGCAATTAATCCCTTTTTCTAGTCTCGTTTACGTCGGTTTTTACGCTCTCATAAATATTCAACAAATGCTTCGTACAACAATTCATAATTTCAGAGCGTGGAAGATTTATGGTATTTTTCATTATCGCGATACGCGGCGAAAATTATTCGAAAATTATTCTTTATACCGTGTTCCGTGATGCAATTTAAATGCAATCGTTGCTGTTTTTTACGATTCGCGATTATCGCCCCGTTTGTAAAACATTCCGGCAAGAAGGATATATTAAAGTAAATTGCTAATTCAAAACACGAGCGCATCTTAAACAGATATGCCATAATAAAAAATATTTAAGACAGTACTTTGATCTTTCATTTGTTTAATCAAAGAACCCTTTCATTCTCTTCGTATAGCGAACTACAGGGGCCAGTTCATTCATCAAATCATTTGATACAAACGGCTCGATTTAATTGATTAACTCGGTGCCTGATTAATTACGAATATTTTTCGAGAATTTTTTGAGTATTCGTATTCTTCATATTTTATTTTGATTTATATTTTATTTTATCTATATTTATTTCTCTCTATATTTATCTCTCTATATTTATTTTATTTTATTTTGCTTTGCTTTAATTTTTTTATATTTTTTTTTATTTTATTTATACTTTATTTTATTTTGTTTCTTATATTTTTATAGCAAAACCTAGATTTTTTTTTAAATAACGATAAAAAAAGGACAGAAATTGTTACGAACAAATATTCTAGAAGTAAATACTTGTGTGTGTGTGTGTGTGTGTACAAAGCAAGTATGTAAATTAATCGACATATAAACTTCCAGGGTAGCATTTTTTGGAAATATTAAAATTAATGATAATATATTAAAATTAATATTAAATATTAATATATAATATAATAATAATAATAATAAATAATAAAAATAAATAATAAAAATAAAATAATAATTAAAATTAATAAAATTAAGAAGTCTGAAAGTACTCGTGCTAATATTACATATTCCTGCATTGGTGCTTTGGTTTAATTCCGTGCGTTGCATATAAACGTACATATTAACGGTCAACCATTGCTTGATTTCCATTTCGCTAACAGGAACAATATTTTCCTGAACATTAATTAATGCTCCGTCGATGGTATGACGGAAAAACAACGTTGATGCAACCGTAATATTTGTGTTTTTTTTTTGTGCTAAGAAGCTACTGGAAAAATTGTGTTATATATGTTGTGTCGATGCAAAAATTTTATATCGTTTAATTGTTATAAAATGAAATTTTTTTCCGAACCAAAACTTAATTATACATGTTTTAGGATCTACGAATAAAACATGTGGATTTTTTTTTTTAAATAAATAAATTGATTTTATATTAGCGTTTTATTTCGGAAGTTGCGCATCAATATTGATGTTTGCTAAGATCTAAAATATTTCTTAAAATTAAAATAAAATATTTCATTACTATATTTACGATAAACGCGAATAATAAACAGAATCAAGGACAAAATAAAATAACCAATGTTTTGTATAGGTATGACGACGGCCCAAATCGAAGCGGAGAACACCCAGATGACCAATGATCTGTACAGATTATTGAAGAAGTACACGGGTCTCAGGAATCTCATCAAAGAGTTGAAAGTACGTGCTTTGTAAGAGACTTATTTTATGGATTCCATAATGTAAACAAAAATATTTGTCTAAGATAAATTATAGTTCACGAGAATATCTTTCGCGTTTGTAAATGTATTTGAAAACATTATTATCTTACTCATCTCAAAATTATTCCATATCCTATTTGTATTTTATAAATGACTTAATTTCTAATCTAAATTATTTTGTTTAGATTTGAACCTTCCTGAAACATTAACGATTGACATCGAGGAAAATTTGTAAATTATTCTGTCATTTAATAAACAATAATTCCATTTTCAAATTAGAATTTATTCTAAGAATTATAATATATTTTTGAACGATCTTATTCTCGATTAAAGCGAATTCTTTAAGAGCTTCGGATGTGTTATATCAGTTATCGATCTCGCGATTATGATCGTGAAAAAGTGACACTGCTCGAAGGCGGTGAAATGTAACACCGGCTATTATATAAGGACATTGTTACAATCATTCCCTTTTTTCCCTTTATATTCTGGTAACTTACATAACACCACTGTTATAAAGCTCTTCCGCGGATCTTATCCTTTATTCGTTTTATACTCTCTTCCTTCATACAGTGTCAAATAAATCGAAGATTAAAGGCCATCAAAAGTATTGTAATATCAAGGCAAAACTACCTTTCGTCGCCCTATATAATATAATTGAAATTTTCATGAAATCGTAGAAACGGATTTAACAGATTTTACATCACATCACACACATTATATTTTTTTATTTTTTTTACAAGTTAAAAATTGAAATATTTTTCTGCGATAAAAATTGTATTTATTAAATTGCGCTTGAAAAGAATACAGTTACACAATTGTAAGATAAAACATTTTGTAGGATAAAATATTTTGAAAAAAAAAAGAATTGGATTGCAAAAAACTATCTTTATGCGATGTAAAAAAAAAATGGAGCTCTTATATAATTGTCGTTTATTAATTGCCGAATTAATTGAAGGGGGTTGCTTTCTCTATCGCAGGAGGAGTACAACAGCTCGAAGGTGTATCCAATGTTCCCGCGTTATACGATACTGAAGGATATGATAAAGGACATAATGCACAACCCGGACTACATGGAGGTCTGTCACGAGGTGGACCAAGCATAGCGGCCGGACCCCCTCCACCGTTCGCCACGTATGACCCTGTAAATTCTTCGGGGTCTCCGCGTGCTCGTCGGTGAAGGGGGTGAATCACAAAGCGCTTCAACATCAACTGGCTGGATTTCAGTTTGGAACAGTAACGCCTTGCAATTCTTTTCTTCACGTCCTGTCCTATACATTTCCGTTTCCTTATCCACGTACAAGCCGTTTGCCAACGGGGCCGCCGTCTTCGAATCTCGGAGCAACTCTTGGAGTATCGAGTTGCGTTACCGTTTGTGTTTATATCGTACTGGCGAATCGTATACAATTTCTCGCAGGTAAGTTAGATTCAATCCCGAGCGAGAAATGGGAGATAATGAGGGATTGGGTTTCGCGCGAAAGTGCATTATCGAATGTCGAGGAGTAGCGATGGATCCCCTCATCGTGTTGTAACAGCGCCGGAACATCACGAAGATGGAATAACCGTCGAACCAAGGTATGTCACGAGGTCATTTTTACATCCGCGAAAATGCTGCTACTTGCAGTTTAATCATCGCGAAAAAATTGAGAGCAAGAAACATTATTCGATTCTTGGAGATAAAGATATATATTACTTTGCAGAAAAAAAAAATAAAATTAAAACTTTTATAAATGAATTTAATACATATAATTTATTCTTATTAAATTCGAGAGATAATCATTAAAGATTAAAAAGGGGTGATATTTCCCGTTGAATTTTCGTTAAAAAATCTGTTTGATGTTTCAAGTTGCTCAAAGAATTCGCGCAGATGAAATAATGGCGATTATTCTAGAACTTGCTTTATTAAATCCAATATTTTTTGAACCTCCACTTTGTGGAAGGAAAGACTAGGAAGTCCCATTCGAAATAAATCCAAGTAGCAGGATTTGCGAGATTTCAGCCGTAGAAAGCCGAGAGGTGATTTTACAGTTTCTGATTTCGCGTCGGAATAGTCGCTCGTACATCACACACAAAAGAGGCTAGTCGCGTTATTATTGATAGTGGATGTCGTGTGCACGTGGTATACCATTAATCAATTAATAACAGTTCGCAAGATCAAGTAAATTCGTATGAGCCTGTGAGTTTGTACATAGGTGTAACTCGTGTATGTGTGTATGCGTGTGTGCGTGCACAAGATTAGCGTGAAATTGTGAGAGTGACGTCAATGTGGAGCATACTATTACCTGTGCTTCCTGCTGTGTAGGATTCGCATAATAAGGGACATCGTCGTGATCGTCGGTCTAACGCGATTGAATTTAATCGCTTTATCAACAAACAGGACAAAGATCGGACGATTCGATATGTTTGAGCAACGTTTTCCGCAAAAAGGAAAGATGTATTTATAACGAGAAACGTTGATTAATGATTTAACGCTTGAAGGAGTTTGAGATTTTACATGGTTAATCTTAAATGGAGATTTTATTGGAGATATTTGGATATGTATTGTGGATAAATGAATCATATATTTAGTGCGTATAAATATTGGAGTATTTGAATTCCTAGCTTTTACCTACAAACAGGACAAAGATCAGGCGATTCGAGGCGTTTCAATACCGAAAAAAAAAAAAAATACATTTATGATAAGGAATATTAATTAATGATTTATCGCTTGAAGAGCAACTAAGATTTACACGATTAACTTTAAATGTGAGAATTTTATTGGAATGTTTGGGAAAAAAATACATGTAGATTCACAAAAGCACCATACAAAATGCGAATTCATATCTTGAAATTGAAGCAAAGGAGTTTGAAAAACGTATGAATGCAAATTTAAAGTGGAACTTAACAGATCTGATTTATGTCAATCAAATTTTTTCAGAGATAGATTATAAATTTATAGATAATATAAATCTTTTCTCCTTACATTTCACACAGTTGGAAATTAAATAAAACAATCTAAAGAATACTTTTTTCGAGCAAAATTTTAATCAAAAATCCATCTTTATGATATAATTTTTATTTTTATTTTTATTTTGTTTATATGTTATTCATATTTTTATCGATTACTCATTTTATAATCATAAATATGCACACGATGCTGAATATTAATCGACAGTTCGTCTTTGTGTATGTAAATCATAAATATTAATGATTCCTTATTTAAAGTACACGCAATGCCTCCATTACGAATCGCGAGATAAGCTAAGATTGCACTCGTGTCGTATGAATCAATGTGTTTCTTTCGTGCGGGAAGCGGAATGGCAAAAATGTCACGTATACATATGCATTCTTATTTTTAATGCAATGCATTCGTACACGATAGGATAAAATATTCACATCCATACATTTAGTGCTATAAATGCGCTTCTTTCGAATATTTATATCAGGCGTGATTTCCGCGCTAAATACATTCACATTCGAGTAGAAAGGAAATTACTCATTAATTGAATATCATTGATCAACGTGATTCACATATAAAACTCATCATGAAATAGCGACATTTATAGCTTGATATGCAGTGACAATTTATATGCTTAACAATAACGGCCGTGAGTATAACATTCCCCTTACATATTTTATTTTGAATAACAAAGAATGCTTCGGGAGAGATTTATTAATTTAATTTCGCATAATGAACATATCATCAAAGTCATATTTACTATATACACTCCGATGCGAAAAAAACCTCGAGAAATTGTGCGAAAAAATGTTTAAATAAAACAGAAGCTTGAGAAAATGTCAAAATTTTTTCGCGGAAAATTTTCCGTGTTTATCTCGATATTACATTTAAAAAAAAAAAAATTTTTTTTCAAAATATTGTACAATTAAACAAATAAATGATTCGTGAATTTTAAAACATTACGGCGGAGAAATGAACGACAAGTTCGAAAGTAATAGTAACGAGCGAAATTAATTAAAAACTTTTGAATTGTCAAAGTTTCACCTGTCAATTAATTAGCGCGAAAGGACACACGATGGTCCGTTAACAAAATGGAAAATAACTTTTTCGCACAAATATCTTCTCCCCGAGGGACTTTCGCTCGCTAGTATTTGCATCCATGTATACATGCGTATGCATATCGTGCCGTTCGATATTGACAAACACAGGGGATGTTATCGGATCACCTATCCGACGTTATATGTGCCATGTTCTTCAAGTGCTATACCTCAATGTAAGTATTTATGTAAAAACAAAAAAAGACGCACGTAACGCTGATTACTCGTAATTGCAGTCGCACATGGTGAATTAACGCCGGTAATTAATTCGCGGCGCGTAACAGGAGGATCTTTTAGGATTTTGTTGTTCTCATATTGTTAAGATCTAAATATAACGATGTATACTATACTAAACTACATATATAAAGAAAGACAAATGGCTGACAGCCCGAAATCAAAATACGAAATATAATGCGCGGCAGACATTGGGACGACGAATGGAGGCCCCACTCCTCGTACTGCGGGCCCTTTCCAATGTTTGGCGATGATTAGTGCCCCCCTCTCCTTCTCCCTCTCCCCTTAATATTGTCTCCCTTTTAAACCGTGTAGCACTGTATAATCAAAAGGATTGTAATTTATCAAAATGTCTAATCAAATTCAAATAGTATCCTTGATCATCATTTATGAAGCTGGATACAGGCGGGAAAACATATAATGTGATTTGCGAGATCAAAATATATAATACTTTTTATAGTCTCTGATTTTCAATTGAATATAAAAATCAAAATTTCTATCAAAAAACAATATTTTTAGAAAGTGTCTCTTTCCTCTTCACAAAAAAAAAAAAAATGCATGACGATATCGATACTTTGTTTTAGTTATTTTACTTTGACAAAAGGTTTTGATAGGCAAATAATAATAACTGTTTTGTCATCGCATCGTCGATGCGATAACAATAATGTCACATTATCAGATTGGGTGAAAGCGACAGTAATCAGTGACATTATGCAGTATATTATGCAGTACATTGTTACGTCGTTATTAGTTTTGAACGTCAATACTTGTTAGCATACGTGGATGGCAACGTGTGGTTATCGTGGAAAAAGATCAAACAACTCATCAAAATATTCATATATATAAAAGTGTAATTAATTTAACAAAAGAATCACCAGCAGTATAATAGTCTGTGTCTGCATCCAGCGCGTTTGTAAAATCTTTTCTCCGTATTGACCGTTTAGAATAGAGCTTTCGACGTATGTACGTATTTATCTTCCACTAATATATTGTATATATAAGGATACACACACACACACACACACATTGAGGCACATTTTATCCCAGAAAATATATCTATAATACTCTTCCCGTCTTATATTATAATTTTTCAAATTTTTGAAACGTTTCACAAGATGCAGCATATTATTTATTCATTTTTCTATCATTTTTTTGATACGCCGCGAATTATTTTCATATATTTACTTGGGATAGCAAATTTATGTCCTGAAAAATTAATTTCTTCGAAAAATATATACATGATAAAAATTTGCAGGGTATTTCGATTAAAATGTAACAAAGTGTCTTTTTTTTTTTTAATAAAAAAGTGAAAATTCTCCATACATTTTGCAAGCGAAAGATTTCGGAGAAACTAGCATCATTTTAAGAAGAAAGCTTTGATATTTTGTATAACCGGAATATATTTTTCAGCACTTTAAAATTTCGAAATATTCACATCATACGGAAACCTTTGTATCTATTTATCCGTTTTATGACGCAACTTGTGTAAAAATATTTGTAGTCTTGTATATTTGAACCGTGAATATAACATGTACGACCAAGATAATTGATCTATAAATTTATGGATTAATCTATTGATGACAATGTAAAGATTATTATCAATTGAAGAATCGGATTTGGAATCCACGAGGGTCTAAACGCGAATAAATTATCTGTATTATTCATATCGACAAAAATAATTTTATTACTGACAAGTACAAATTTATGCTCTAATCAGTATTATAATATTTCTTCTTGTAGTAAAAACTAATTTTTATTACAATTATATATTATGCTGTAATTGAGTTTTATGTATACATGAATTTTATTACAAATAAAGTTTATTATAATTATGAGTTGTTCTACAAAACTGGATTTTATTATACGTCAATAAATTTTTTTACATATGCTATATTAAAATCATTCATAAAAGATGATTTTTATATCTCGATTTCTTTGCGAACGAGATATATAATTGGTGCAATAGACCCTTTCGCAATCTTACGATCTTCAATTTTCTCTTTATCTATATCAATAATTGGACTGGTCGTTATACTATTTGAAGCTTGTTCTTACTGTACGATTTTCTCTACGATATCGTCGACATTGATCGCAAATTATCAAATATCACGAATAATGAAAAATTATAGACGATCTCGAATTTTTCGATCGCGATTTAGGAATTAATTCTTATTATAAAAATATCTTTTGTCTTGAATTGGTAAAATCTCGCGCATGTAAAGATTAATGCGTTTGATTATACGAAATCGTGCGAAAATCGCGCAGTACGAATATCACTCCTACAATATCACTATAACAAGAATTATATGGTAACACGCGATTATCAACGGGCGATTGACTCGCTTCGGTCGGCGCAGCTGATATTTTTTATGCAACCGGGAACTTTCTTAGACCAATTACCGTAAAATGTAACGTATAAGGTGTGAACTCTTATAAGATATATAACATATAACGCTAAAAAATCGTACATGTAGCGACGGAGTAAAGCTACTACTCGATATGCAATGTCTCTGAATTGAAGAATAATAGCAAGCGTGCTCGCCTTTTCGACGAAATTAGGAGAGTGCCAAATAGATTTTGAAAGTTTATACGTGAGTGTGTATACGCGTGCGTGTATGTTTTTCTCTCACATTTTTATAGAGTGCTGGCTGTAAGTACGAGAGCGGTGCTCTCGTTCGCTGAACTGATCATTATTAAACTTGATCACTTTACTTCTCCATCAATTTATGATATTAAACATCATTCATTTTTTCATCATTTGTAAGGATAAGTAATCTCATTTATAATATTTTCCATAACTTTTTTTTTTTTTTTTTTTTAATGATGTTAAATTCCATAACTGTAGAATTACATATATTACATAAACGTCTTTGTAACAACAACAGTTATTATAGAGACGCATGTAACGCCAGAGAAAATTTGATATGAGCTTGAAGGTATACATGTATATTAAGACTTTGAAAAATGTTCTACGCAAATAGCTATGAATATATATATATATATATGGTAAAAATATACGATCTACAGTGCTATATAAAGATCACTTCAGCGAAAATAGCCACTTATCGTCTAAGTATAGAAATAACGAACGTATACAAGTGTCAGATACGAGAGATCTACCGAATGTGTTTTAAAAGAGCGTGTCTATGGTAGATTTACATAATTGTACTAGTATTATAACGAGCTATCTCATTTTTAATGTCCTTCGATCTTTCCCGCAATATATATATATATATATATAATCCTCTATAAATGCAATTTTTAACAATCTTTTAATTGTTTTTGTTTGCGTTTTATAAAGATTTTGTATTACATAAAATCCCCATATCAATTTTTATACGATCTGCTTACCAATTTTAATTTGCAATATAAATTAAATGCATATCGACATTTTATATGACATAGTGAATAATTAATACATTATAATTATTATTTTATATAAAATTTCAGTTTTTGAATATATCGAGTATGAATTGAATTTAAAATTAGTAAAAAAGTATATGTAGTGTGAGATGTGTGTATATATATATATATATACATACACAATTGATTTGATAAAATAAAATAATTATAGTAAGATCGAAGGACCATTAACGATTAAATATGAATAAGTGTACAATAACGTTAATCGCGAGAAATCCGATGGATTTCCGGTGCGAGAAAACTCGTCTTTCTCTCGATCTCGTTGTCGCTCTTAATTAAATGTGTTTGCGACTTCACAGATGATATTCTCGACCAATATCTATTTGTCTATAATCATCGCATTACCATTGTCTCTCTTTCTCTTTCTCTCTTTGTGTAAACATGTACGCTCTCTCTCTCTCTCTCTCTCTCTCTATCGTGCGAAATGCACAATCATACAAGAGACATACATACTATATCCGCTTTCTATCGATGGTAAGCGCTTCGGTTGCATATCGATGAATCATATATACATATATATAAATATAGATGTAACATTTTTACGAAGAAATATATTTTGGCAAATTCTTCGTGGCCGAATTTACACAGAGAAGACCCTGAAAAAACCGTTCAGTTTTTTGCGAAAAAAACATTTATACAGGATGTCTCACTTGGAATGAGAACCGCACGAAAAATGAAGTAAAATTTATTTTATTAAATTTATTTATAGTATTAAACTTATATATGTATTATATAAAGTGTTCTTTCTATATCAGAGTATAATCTTTTTTTATTTTAATTGTTTATTTTTCTTATAACTGGAACCTTTTATTGTGAAAAATTAGGATATCTCCAATTCTTTTTCTATCAGATTTAATAAAATTTAATAAAATTTAATAAGATTCTGTCGATATCTTTCAATGTAGAATTACGAATAAGAATTAGCCGAAGGAGAATTCGTCTCATTCACGGCGGGACATCTTGCATAAGATTTATCAATCACTGTATGTATGCACTCTCATCGTTAGTTTCAGCAAAGTGAAATAACCCCTTTTACTTACAATTAGAGACTCGATGTATAGCATCAAATGTATAGTGGTATCGTTAGTTCAGCTAGCTTTTGCGTACTTTGTAAAATATGCGCTGTAATAAAAATCATCGGCATCGCGAACGGTGTCTCTCTCTCTCTCTCTCTCTCTCTCTATCGTGCGAAATGCACAATCATACAAGAGACATACATACTATATCCGCTTTCTATCGATGGTAAGCGCTTCGGTTGCATATCGATGAATCATATATACATATATATAAATATAGATGTAACATTTTTACGAAGAAATATATTTTGGCAAATTCTTCGTGGCCGAATTTACACAGAGAAGACCCTGAAAAAACCGTTCAGTTTTTTGCGAAAAAAACATTTATACAGGATGTCTCACTTGGAATGAGAACCGCACGAAAAATGAAGCGTACTTTGTAAAATATGCGCTGTAATAAAAATCATCGGCATCGCGAACGGTGCAATTCAACGAGACGTAGCCGCGGAATAAGGGAAGATTTGTTCAAAGTTTCTTAAATCTCGAATTAATTAAAACAACAAAGATATATTTTTCACGTACAGAGAATTTTTTAAAAGAATTATTTCGCGATTGCATCTATATTTTTATTGAAATTAATAATAGTATTACAATGAAAAATTTAATGTAGTTGATAATAATTTTTCTTCAAACTATCTTAATAATTATAATTAAAATATATAATTATATATACATTTGTTATTGTTATTGCACAAATGATATATTCTTAAAATAATATTGAAAACGTTGAATAGAGCTGATACGCGATTCCGTGCGATTTATTATACGCGCACATTTCCGAATCGACTGGATTTTCAATGAAGTAGAGAGTAATCGTTGTTACACGCACCCGCTTTTCCTATTTCAATTATTGATACCATTAATCGCTAGTAGTGTATAACCACGTGCAAGAAAATTAACACTGTTGTGAATATGTTATATGTTTCGTTACGGAATAGAGAATCGTGAGAACCGCAATTTGATTATTCATTTTTGTGAAAAAAAATTATATCTCTATCGATCTCAGATAAAAAGAGAGAAATGTGATACGCTAACAATAAGATTAATTGTTCGAAGTGTATATTTGAGAAAACTTAGAAATAGCATTTCCATCTATCAATTCTTCAATGAAAGTTTATAAGCCGTTCGATCATGAGTTTCCATCTTCTTAGCAAATCCTTCGGATATATAATCTGGGAAAAGTTAAATCCCTTTCAAGGATATAACGCCCCGATCTCTATTTATTAATGTGGTTCTCGCGATTCGATGCGAGTAACGTCTTTATGTCTGAACACACAAGTGGTTTGATAGTAAACGATTAGATTTAGAAGCCACGCTAGATTAGGTCGGCGCGAGACGTAACAAATGCTAGATGTCATAGAACGTTACAATATGCGTAATTCCACCGATTTCTCCCCCTCTTATTAATCGCATCTGTGAGTTTCCCCGGCGAAGGGATATATAGTTAGTAGCGATATATTGTATGTTATAGGCTATAGTTATACCGACTATCTTAGATCCTAGTCAACCAATCAGTTTGACGAAAGTGTATGCCGCAATAATAATCTGATTTCGTTCGATGTGTCTTTGTTATCGCGAAAGAGGCATTACTCGTTTATTGGCTGTTAAGCTTTGTTAATAAAATATTACGAAATTTTACATTGAATCGCTGATGTCGTTAATTGCGTTATCTCTATAATACCCTTGAAAAAACATTTTTTAAAAAAATAAAATATTTATTCTTTCTTTTTCTCGTGTGCTCATTTTTGTTAATTTAAATTATTATTCTATTTTAGAGTCAGATATTTTTTTTGAATATTTTTAAATAATGAAACATTTATTGCAATTTTTAAACGTCAAACTTTTGATTTAATGTAACATCTAAAATTCTTTTATTTATACTTTTTTATTTATCTGTTATTTGTTCTTTTGTATATTTTAATTAGTGACTTATAATTAAGAATGAATTGATTAAAATCATAAGTTTATCAACTAAAGGACAATTAGGTGTTCCAAAATATTTTTTGAGTGTTGATAAGACAGGTATTCGTAAGATTTCTTGTCAACTGTGCCGATAAAGTCGCGATCTGTCCACCAGTCGGCAGCACCGTCGACTCTCGGGCATCGAACAAGTAAGATGGCCGCCACCGACTCGAGTTTATCTAGTGAAAATCCCGCCAAGAAGGAGGATGAATTCAACGAATTTTACACGGAGGTATGCGAGTTCTGATTGATCCTGGTATCTCTTTATATACAGCGCTGTCGACAAAACGATACCTGTCTCTTTGTGACTACGATCGTAAATAAATCCGAAGCAACGACTCTGACAAATGTCGCTTTATACCAATGATGAAATGACAATAGGTTCTCTTGCAATCAATTTGTATTTTAACTATCTTTTAAATTAGCGTACACCCAATTATATTGAATATTGCAAACGATATCGTTGTTATAAAACATTGGTGTTCGATGCTCCTAACCTATACAAACAACAGTGTGTGTTTGTGTTGAAATTTATCAATGTTTTTTTTTTATTTATTTTTTAAGTATAAAGAGCGTATTCTCTCTATCACCACATATCGCATTTTACGAAACTTATTATTGACTATCATTACAGTTCAATATGAATTTTATTAGTCTTCTGTAATATTATAGCTATTTGGCTCGCAATTGCATTTTTTGTATTATCTCTATGTGAGAGATAAATATGATACTGTGCTGATACATGTAAAAACTACCTGCAAACATTTGTAATTGTATTTTCTTTACTATTTTTTAGTATGAAAATTGTATTCCTTAGTATAACATATATTTCATATTAAATATTGTCAAAACAAAAGGGATTGACACAAATATATACAATAAATTATATCTACTATAATGAAAATTTGTTACATTGCATTGTTCCAAAATTTTTAGTAATATTTGATTACAGTAACAGTATTATTATTGTTATAATTTTTCTTGTTTTTTATTAATTATATAGAATTCAATTAAAATTCCATATTTGCTCTAGTCATAAAAACATTTTGTTTTGTCTTTCTATAGGTTAAAGAAATCGAGAAAAGAGACTCTGTGCTGACACCTAAACAACAAATTGATAGATTATTGCGACCTGGATCATCCTACTTTAATTTGAATCCATTTGAAGTCTTACAGATTGATCCAAGCACAGCGATAGATGAAATCAAAAAGAAATATCGTCGTGTAAGTATCTATCTGTTCTTTTCTCGTTAATAAAAAATAAATAGTATAATTTAATGTCGTGATTTTTATTGTAGATGTCAATTTTGGTGCATCCAGACAAAAATCAGGATGACGCAGAGAGAGCACAGCAGGCATTTGAAAGTAAGTGTAATAATAAAAGATATGTATTGTAATGCAATAAATATATAACAAAATATCTCGTTAATTGCAGTTGTTAATAAGGCGTGGAAAACTTTGGAAAATGAGGAAACCAGATCGAAATGTATGGACGTCATTGAAGAAGCAAAAGCTCGGACTGATCACATGGTAAGCATCTAATTATTCATTAAAATTTCAGCTTCTATAATAAGACTGATGTCATAGCATATGCTTTGTTATTTTCACCTGCTGTATAATACCGAATTTTAAAGATTGCAGAAAAGAAGAAAAAGCTGAAAAAAGAAGGAAAATCAGAAAATTCGACTCCGACGCTTTTGGAAGAAGAAACCGAAGAGGGTTACACGCATGCAGTCTGGGTTATGACGATGAAGTTGTTTGCCGATATGGAGCGAAGAAGGTTAATTTACAATTTTTATTAAATACAACAAAAAATATATTTAAAAATATTAAACACTTTTGATTATAATATTAAGCTAGCATAAATTAATTGCAGGTTTTTTTAGATAAATTAAATTAAATACTATGCCACTGTATACTTTATAAAAAAATACATGAATTTAAAATAGTCGTTCTTTTCTTTTTTTGCAGACGGGAATTAGCCACGAGAGACGCAGAACAGCGCAAGAGAAAGCGCGAAGAGGAATTATCAGCAGAAGCTCAAGCGGCGTTAGAGCGCGAATGGCAACGAAACTTTGAAGAATCTAGACAATCACGTGTCGACAGCTGGAAGGCGTTCCAATCCGGCACCAGTAGTGCCACAAAACAGAAAAAAGCGAAGAAGTTGAAAGCCTTTAGGCCGCCGAAGACGAAGGCGGAATCGCGATAATCGCAGTCGCACTCTTTTCTCCACTTTTGATGTGCGGATACTGGTTTTTAGTCGACGCGATACTTTATCTTTTAGAGATTTTCTCGCAGTGCGTTAATGTAGATAGGTTAAGCGATCCAGCATACCTCGACATTAATCCAGCCATCGATCAACACGCTGGATCACTTTAACTTGGAACTGAAAGAAAGAAAGATATTGGACTCTTCGGCCCTTCTTGGCTCCAGACCATTCAGTTTAGTGTAAGACAAGAGTTTTTCGATGATGGCGTCCATTATTAACTCAGTGCCGAGATTCGAGTTTCTAAGAGATTCTCGCATTACTGATCAATTTCATTAATCTATTTAGAAGAACAATTTATTATATTTCTGACAAAAATGCATCTTTTTATTTCACTTGTATAAGAGGATTATTGCTGAAGCTTCTTATATAAAATCAAATTTTGAATGAGTTTGGTGAAATTAATTGCATTCAACTTTTTTGCTTAAATAATCATGATTTGCAGCCAGAGAGGTTTTAAATGTTGGTGTTACGAGTAAAACCGATGTTAAAAGCAGATACATATTTTTGCGAGAAAGAAAAGATATATAGAGAAGGAACACAACCTATTGGATGAATAGGGAACACGTTTCTTTATAACACATCGTGCATATGCGAGTGAAAAACAAGTTTCGTATGTGTCGCAGTCTTATAGTGTAAAATCGCGCCGTTTGTTTTGAAAATAGTGTAAGTTGCACGTCAAATAATTTTGCTAGAACAAATAGAATTCTGCATATAATTTAAATTTATTCTTAAGTTAATTCAAACATTTAAATTAGAATTTTATTTCAATTTTTTCGTTTACATCGCTTTCAAAATGCACGGCTCGATTCATCTTGCATCAAAGTCTCGCGTCTCCTCGCAGAATTAACAATTAAGGAGTTTATCTCGCGAATTCCGTGATTTTGCGGCATTGACGATTAAATTAAATACACGATGTATAAACAAAAAGGAGGGAAAGAAAGAAAAGAAAAATTTCTCCGGAGCATTGTGCATTTGCAATATCCCGTGACAAATGTCAATTTTTTAATCTACGTGTATCTCGTGCTTTTACTATTAAACGTACGATCGTCCATCGTAAAGAAAGTAGGATGTGTATTATCGCGATGAATTTAGAATCAGGGAATTTTGATGATACCATGCTTCGGATGCGATAAACGACAGGATCGTGCGAATTAATATTTAAGATGGAAATTTTGTTGCGAAAGATCGCATAAAAGTTTCAATATTTGTTGTAACAGAAACTGATTCTGAACAGAACTAAGACTCAACAATTCAAATTTTGGGATTTTCGAAGTATCATCTAAATTCATAACTAAAAAAATCTTTATACTATTATTTTCTTTATACTACTAGAGAGAAACGATCCTTTTCGCATTATTGCAAGGGATTCGATTCTGCACTGAATAAGATCTCGAATTATCATGATGCCGTTTGAATTTAAGCTCCGCTATTCAAAAGAGATACGATATTGTGATAACTCATTTATTATTTCGCGAACACCTCAATATTATACGAACAATGTACGATTGCGGAGCTTCATCGAGAATGAAAATAGTTTGTTCGAGCTTTGAAATCAACTGTGAAATGTGAATATATACGTATAAATTGTTTCTAAAAGACTGTTTATTGCACGTGACTTCGATACGTAATATGTATATCCTATTCAACTGCATTAAAGAATCTTCCATTGAATCGTGATTGCAGTAACGATATAAGATATCCATTTAAATGCACTCTGCAATAAAAAAATGTATACGATCGCGCTTTCTCGTTTCTCACATCGAAATCTCTACAAGGAATATATATACAGGGTATTCTAAATTTCCCATATTATTTCTCGCCTATAGATTTCTTAATTTATCAGTTTGGAGTTGATATTTAAAAAAATACTCGTGTAATTATTTTCTAAGAAAAAGAAATAAAATCCAAATTGATTAAGAAATCTATATAAATAAAAGAATACATTATATTATATTCTGAAATTTTTCTTTTCGAATTATATTATGTCTTATATTCAAATATATATTTATATAAGATTTAAATGGAATGTGTTGCGCGCGCACCTTCGCTTATTTACCGCTTCGGGAAGCGCGCCGATAACAATCATGTCAACATTCCGAGTCAGTATAACGCCGTACGTGACGCGCGACAGCCCGTGCACGGATACTGCTGATTTTCGACAAAAAGATCGCGACTCAAGTGATTTCGTCTGTTAAAAAAAAAACGTCCCTACAATGCAGCATGAGCTCGATGGAACGACAGAAAGCGGAAGCACGCGTAGAAGGATTGCACGGAGATCTCCAGAGGGTGAAAGATATTCGAAGATTGGACTTGTTGAGAATCACGTGAGTATTTTGAAAATGAAACTTGAGAATATCCGAATGGATGATATAAAAAAAAAAAAACATCAAGGAAAGAGAGAAAAATGAATTTCTCTCTTTTCGTGATATTTCGAGAATGTAAAATAATATAATTCTAATATATCAGAAATTAATATTTTAATATTTAGAAATATAATATTTGAAAATTAGAATATAAAATTTAAATGAGAACAAACGAGAGCTCCTATAATTTGTTATTAGTCATTTTATAACATTTTATACAATTTCCGTCAAATCGCGATGATGTAAACATATATTCAATCACGTACACACATTTCTTTATATTGTCTGGAAGAGAACAAGAATAGCCATGTTTACTATTATGAGTGCCGATTCCCTGACCTTCGCGGTTGTGTGCCGACTTACGGTTTGTAAATATGTAGTATTTTGGTGACGAACTATGCTTTACAGTGTAGTAAAGAACGCAATCATACGTGTTAGTCGTTTTGTAGCCGGCGTGACTATTGTATCTTGCCATTGAAGAAAATTGTAGATGCTCTCATCGTTGTTATCGTCACAATTCATAATTGCTGTCAATCCTCTTTATACATATATATACACACACATATATATATGTATGTATAATTATTATTATGTACGAATAATTTATATATTGTGTGTGTATATATATATATATATTTTTTTTTGTTTCTCTTATATTTACACTGCGTATCAAATTACTATTAAATCTTTTTAGAGATATAAAAATATCAAAAACTAGGAAAGAAAGAGAATTGACAGCAATTATGAATTATGACGATAACAATGATGAAAACATTTTAATGCACTCGTTATGTCTCATTAATTAATATTTAAAAAAATATATTTAAATTATATATATATACAGGGTGCCCCACCAAAAAGATAAAAGGAAGTGACCACTTTTGGTGGGAGAGGGAGATACTTTGTATATATATATAAATTATTCAAATCTGTTTTTTTGAATATTAGCTAATGACATAGTGAGTGCATTAAAATGTAAATATGCTCGTCGGAATAATAGCATCGTTAAAAAAAAAAAGTACATATAACAAACTGAAACCGGGGTCTCTGCACTCGCTTACGATTGAATGCACTTCACGTGACTGCTTTACAATTCACAGACGATGTGTGGATAGAATTTAGAAAGCAATCCTACGAACTCATATTTATGCGTGTATAATTCTATATCGCGAATTATAAAAAAAAAATTTTTAAACTGGGATTTTTTTAGAGAACGCGCAAAAAGACGCATTTATATTTTCCTTCTCTGTCAACTTTTGTATCGACTGGTACATTTTATCACAAGATTTTATAGAGGGAGGATAGATGATCAGTATTTAAAAAGACAAATATGTTTCATCGCATAAAGAAAGAAAGAGAGAGAGAGGAATATTTATTTCCATGCTTATGGTATACTTAGGTACTTTATATACATATGTCGATTGTTGCGTGCATCAATACGCACTAATGCACCCAAGCTACTCACCGTACATTGTGTCTCATGCGATGCATTTGCGATAGTTGCACGCGATTGCAGGTAGAACGCAACAGGTAGCAGCGCCTTCCGCGTCCTTTCGAATTTTCGTTGCCGATCTTCTAGGTAGATCGCAAGATGCATTTCCGCGCGGGAATCGAGAGGGGGAGAGAAATCGCAGAACCAGCTGCAATTCCCCGAGTATCCGCGATATCGAAACGAGAGGAATAAGAAGAAACCGAAAGTATATCGAACGACCGATGTACTATTACGTGTCTGTCAGATACAACGCGCGCAATAAATGTCTCGCGGACGTGAAAACGATTTTAAAAATAATTAAGATAAAAAGAGACAGTTGAACAACAGATGATAGTGATTAGAGAATTTCAAGAGAATTATTAGAACATAATTTATATCAGTTTCACTTCACCTTTCCCGCTGTGTATTTATCATATATTTAATTTGTCATTTATTGCGAAACAAGTCATGGAAAACAAATTATTTAGTGATATATTTTGCAACACCCTTTTTAATAAATGATCAGCAAATATATATATATATAT